TAATTATGTCCCCCTTTTTAGTGATGTGGTTGGTTTTGTTGCTTTAGTATTCAGGGAGTTCTTCCAGTGAGGATGGTCAGCCAGTAGTGGACTACACTCCGCCATCTTACATCACCTTGCTGTTCACAGATCTTGGAGTTCTAACGCCTTCTGCTGTCAGTGATGAACTGATTAAACTTTATTTATGACTAGAAAAACCTTCTCTTGGCCACGGAAAACAGTGAAAACACCCACGGGCCACCAGCTCTCTGTATTGCGGTCTACTACTACTTATGGATGAATTGGAAAGTATTATGGGATTTATATTGCCTAACAACGTTGCTGTGTAGTGGACCACATCGTGGGCTCAGTTTTGCGAGTTATGGTCTCTGAGTGCTGCAGGCCAAGGAAATCTTATTGCTCATAAGTTGTAAAGAAAATGAAAAATGGAAGGAACGTTGCTTCGTAAAACAGGATGGATTACCCTCAAATAGGATTTACCTCTGTTTTAGTAACTTTTTCTGGCCCCGGTTGTTCAAAGGGTGGAGAACGCTATCCTCGAGATAAATCTCTATCCAGTATATAGCATTGTACTTTTTGTTTTATCTCGTAGCCAAGTCACGCGGTGTAACTTCAACTAAAATGAAATAGCAGCTAAATGAAATGGGACTGCTTCCCACCGCTTGTCCGTGAAGGTCTGGGTATGAGACGTTTTGTTCACACACTGTATAGCGATTTACCTGTTGGTTAGCGTTATCTGCACCCTGGACCCTGATGTATTTACTTTGTTTTTGGTTATGACGGTGTGTCCTTCCCAGTCTAATAGATGGGTTTACCAAGTTTGAGTAAGTACACTTCGTTTTGAACTTCATTTCCATTTCTCTACGCACCTTTTTAAACATTTACATCATAAAGCCCGATTTGACCTAAACACCCTTTAAAGATTGTTTCAATGTTTTTTCCTGGTTAAATATCCGAAGAAAATAAACTATCTGTCACGGTGAGAAACTAATAAAATAAAACGGTAAAACCTATACATGTCATAACTTGCCTAATGCTAAACGGGCCACTTTCAGAAGAAAAGAAGGTGGATACGTGAACTTCCCCACCCCACTCCATTAACATTTTTTGTTTGTATAATTCCCACCTTCATATTTGCCCTGTACATTTATTTGTTTTAGGGATGGGGAGGTGGAGTTCTTGTCTCACGAATTTCACAATAAAGCTGGGACTTTAAAACTTGTATACCAGTGACACCTTATCAAGCTTTTTGTAGCGCGCCGTTGTTTGTCTGAAAAAGTCTTATTTTGTCTAAGATGAGAAATTGGGGGAGCCTCGCTCACATGGTTTATTTTTCTTTTCTTCCAAGATTGCTTTTCTTCTTTTGTTCGAATCTTCAAAAGCCCCTTAAAAAAAGAGCTGCGACTTTTTAAACTTGTTCACAATCGACAGATCATCAAGCTCCTAATGCACTGTTTATTGTCTGGGAAATCCTCATTTTGCTAGAGATATTGGTTCATGAATATTTAAACAATAGGAATTTGGTTATTGAGCTCTTGGGGACCTCGTGCTACTTGCTTATTAATAAGTTTCTTTTGTTTCAATATTCAGAAAGGATTTTCTCGTTCTACAAGAGGGCTGTAACTTTGAAACTTGCATACAATTGGCAAGTAATCACACTCTTTCTAACGCACTATTAATTGTTTGGGAAGTCCTCATTTTGACAGAGATATTAATCCATGAATATTTAAACAATAGAAATCGGTTGGTGAGCTTTTAGGGACTTTGTGCTACATCCAGATCGAGAAGCCCTTGTTGCTCAATTAACGAATTTCTTTTGTTTCAACATTCAGAAGGGCTTTTCTCGTTCCACGAAAGGGCTGTAACTTTGAAACTTGCATACAACTGGCAAGTAATCACACTCTTTCTAACGCACTCTTAACTGTTTGTGAAGTCCTCATTTTGTCATAGATATGAAGCTATGATGAATGTTTAAACAATAGAAATCGGTTTATGAGCTTTTGGGGACTTTGTGCTACACTCAGATCAAGAGGCCTTTTTGCTCATCAACGATTTTCTTTTGTTTCAATATTCAGAAGGGATTTTCTCGTTCCACAAAATAGCAGTAACTTTGAAACTTGCTTACAATTGGCAAGTAATCACTCTTTCTGACGCACTATTACTTGTTTGTGAAGTCCTCATTTTGACGGAGATATTACGCCATGAATATTTAAACAATAGAAATCGGTTTATGAGCTTTTGGGGACTTTCAGCAACACCTAGATCAGAGAGGCCTTTTTTGCTCATTAACAAATTTCTTTTGTTTCAATGTTGACAAGGGAGTTTCTCGTTCTACAAAAGAGCTGTAACTTTGAAACTTGCATACAATTGGCAAGTAATCACACTCTTTCTACCGCACTAATAATTGTTTGGGAAGTCCTCATTTTGTCATAGATATTAAAACAATAGAAATCGGTTAATGAGCTTTTAGGGACCTTATGCTAGCTACACCCAGATCAAG